AAGCTTTGAACTAGAGTGGGATAATCATAGAATATAATATTGGTTCTTTATTATTTTATATTTTGTAAAAATCAAATAATAAAAGTTTTAAATATTATTATGTTAAATTTTGAAAATCAATGAAGTGAACTAGCTTGGGATAATCATAAGTAATACTATTAGTTGCTCATTTTTGATTGATCAATGTAAATGTATATATATATATTACTAATTCCATGAAAATAACTTTCAATCTGTTAAAAGGTAAAACCAATTTGTAATAGTCTTAAAAATAATTGTTTTAAATTTAAGGACCAATGCTTTAGTTAGTTATCTAGAGTTTTCCACAGCTAGAAGATAAATTTGGGTCTGTAGAACTGTAGAAATGGTAAGATGACATATTTCACTATGTTTTAAAGAAGTCGTTTGCTTTTTAAAAGATCATGGTAGCAATCAGCTAATGCATTCGACTCATTTGGCTGACAATCAACTAACAGCTCTCCCGAAAATTCCAGGGTTACGAGTGCGGAGAGCCCTTTCCATGGGTTTAAACTGAGCAATAAGCAGGCTATAATCACTTGCAGTTAATTAACATATTATCTGCAGCTTAGATGTTGCGCTGCACTTTGGTAATGCACTTCAAAGTGCTTGCACATCAGTGTGCAGCTCTCATTTACATGCATATGGCAACAATAATTACATGTGCCGGACCCCCTGAGCCCCTTAACCCCTTAACCCCTGGGCCCCTTGACCCTTAACTCTTAGCCCCCTGCCCCCCCCGGCCGGCACAGAAATCTCTTTCGACGAAACGGCATCCAAGTGATTGTAATTCATTAGTCGACAACAACAAGCCCGATGCATTTGTGCATGTGCATGTGTGTATGTGTGGGAGCGGCTGCATCTGTGTGGGTGTGGATTATGCAGTTTCCGCTTCGCTGCAACTGCAGTTCCATTTCCACACATTTCCCATTTCCATTTCCCATTTCCACGGCTGCAATTGCGATTGCAGCTGCTGATGCCGCCATTTTATCTAATTGCGTTGCCCCCGACCAGGGGCATTACGCATACGCCACGTGGTCCATATCATTAAAATTGCGAGTACTTCAGCACGCGAAAAAATAATTCGATTTTAGCTAAGAACTGGCGTGGGGGTCACGAGATTACCAATATATTACTGTGGTATACAAATACAAGACAATGTAATTTCATTAAAAATGTTTTGACCATAAGAAGACATTCATTTAAAACTACATTTTTAAGAGTAATGTCATAAAATTTAAATGGCGGTGAGCGTTTTATTTTGACAACAAAAATATTAAAACCACAGTTCAACTGCAAAACAAAAAAAACGCAAAAATAAGTCAAAAATAATACAAAAATTGCGAAATTTCGTCAAAAAATAAATTTCCCGAAAAGTGATAGGGATCAATAGCCTTCGTTGAAAGCTGCTCATAGCAGGCGGTCTTTTTGTTATGCGAATCGATTTGACTGAAATACGACCTAAAAATGGCTTAAAAATAACGTTTTTTTCGCCAAAAAATAATACTTCCTATTTTTGAGCAAAAAAAATCAGTATTTTGGTCGACAAATTGCGAAATGAGGTCAGAATATGGAATGTGATACCTCGTTGAGCTCGTTATTAAATTCCCAATCGATTGGCACTTAAATCTGAAAAATTTATTTTTTGAAAATTTTTCGAAAAAAAAGATGATACAACCCCTTACAAAAAATGCGAAATTTCGTCAAAAAATAAATTTCTTGAAAAGTGATAGGGATCGATAGCCTTGGTTGTTAGCTGCTCAAAACAGTCGGTCTTTTTGTTGTGCGCCCCGATTTGACTAAATTACGACATAAAAACGGCCTAAAAATAACGCATTTTTCGTCAAAAAATAAGGTTCCCTATTTTTGCACAAAAAAAATCAGTATTTTGGTCGAAAAATTGCGAAAAGAAGTCAGATTAAGGAATGTGATACCTCGTTGCGCTCGTAATTAAATTCCCAATCAATTGGCATTTAAATCTTCAAACTTTAATTTTTGAAAAATTTTCGAAAAAAATAGATGATACAACCCCTTACAAAAAATGCGAAAATGGGTCAAAAAATAAATTTTGCGATTTGTGATATGGATCGATAGCCTTGGTTGTTAGCTGCTCATAACAGTCGGTCTTTTTGTTGTGCGCCCCGATTTGACTAAATTACGACATAAAAACGGCCTAAAAATAACGCATTTTTCGTCAAAAAATAAGGTTCCCTATTTTTGCACAAAAAAAATCAGTATTTTGGTCGAAAAATTGCGAAAAGAAGTCAGATTAAGGAATGTGATACCTCGTTGCGCTCGTAATTAAATTCCCAATCAATTGGCATTTAAATCTTCAAACTTAAATTTTTAAAAAATTTTCGAAAAAAATAGTTGATACAACCCCTTACAAAAAATGCGAAAATGGGTCAAAAAATAAATTTCCCGATTTGTGATATGGATCGATAGCCTTTGTTGTTAGCCGCTCATAACAGTCGGTCTTTTTGTTGTGCGCCCCGATTTGACTAAATTACGACATAAAAACGGCCTAAAAATAACGAATTTTTCGTAAAAAAATAAGGTTCCCTATTTTTGTACAAAAAAAATCAGTATTTTGGTCGTCAAAGTGCGAAATGAAGTCAGATTAAGGAATGTTATACCTCGTTGAGCTCGTTATTAAATTCGCAATCGATTGGCACTTAAATCTTCAAACTTTAATTTTTGAAAAATTTTCGAAAAAAATAGATGATACAACCCCTTACGAAAAATGCGAAATTTCGTCAAAAAATAAATTTCCCGAAAAGTGATAGGGGTCGATAGCTTTGGTTGCTAGCTGCTCAGAACAGGCGGTCTTTTTGTTGTGCGCCTAAATTTGACTAAATTACAACCTAAAAACGGCTTAAAAATAACGTATTTTTCGCCAATAAAATAATAAATGAGGTTAGAATATGGAATGTGATACCTCGTTGAGCTCTTAATTAAATTCCCAATCGATTGGCATTTAAATCTAATAAATGTAATTTTTGAACATTTTTCGAAAAAAAATGCCGACAAAAACCATGAGTATTTTTTCTGAAATCTCACTACCCTTTTTTGACCCAAAAAACTAGAAATATCATCATTATTTTGAAAGTGATAGCCAAAACATTTTTTACCAAGGATTTTCTATTAATATAAGTTAATGTTGCTATAATTTAAATATAAAACCTTAAGGAAAAAACTGAAATATCACAATTATTTGAAAACTCAAAATGTAAAATTTAATCTTGTATATAAAACATTTGAATCCCTGTTAAACTGCCAACATTCATCCGATTCTACGTTTTAAAATCCCCTCAAACTTCCACAGCACCCACAATTGCGAGCGTAGCCCGTGCAATTGCGATAATGAAAGGCTCTTTTACAGGACTATCAATAGAGCTGTCCCCACCCGTTAACCCCCTGCTCCCGCTGGCAGAGGCAGCGGCAGTGGCAGCCACCCTTAACCCATGCTGGCCCTCATAAATTCGCTGCATACCGAAGGGCGCTGGAGCGTCTGCAGCCTTGACAACTGCAAGTGGCATTAGTTGTAGCAAATACAACGGACAACAATTACAATTGCAGGCTTTGCATTACTTTTCTCTAGTACAAGGGATTTGCATTTGTTTGCTAATTGAAATTAAGCAAATAATACGAAGCGAGACTTCCACCCACGTAATCCCTTTGTAGCGCATTAAAACGAGAAGGGTTTGCAAAAAAAAACCCCAGGAGGAAAAAGAGGAAAAAAAGGGTTCCCGTTTCGGGTTAAATAATTTAAATCCATTTGTAAAACATTTGATGCTGCCCTTTGGCAATTGTCACGCTCCCTCTTCTTCATCCATTTTTTCCATCGACTTTTCCTACTTTTTCCTACCGATAATTAGTAGGGAAAAAGGTCCTCTCTCCGGATAATCAAATGTTTAAAAAAGATTTGCCAAAGTAAATCCCAAGGAATTATTTGCCACTTGAAACGTTTAAAAATGTCAAACAAGAGGATGGCCGAAATGAACGGCTGAATGGATGGATAGATGCCTGGAAGACGTTGCTGATGAGGGTGCCCGAAGGACCTTAACCCACCACCGCCCCCCATTTTTTGTCGAGGGGTCAGACAAACTTAATGAGCAAATTGTCAAATGCCGCGGCAAAGCGCGCACTTAGACATGCCCTGAAAAATCCCCAAGAAAAATAACTTGGGCAAAAGTAAAAGTTGCCGGGGCTTTGAATAAACAGTTACGCTGATTTAATTTGCCAACAAAAAAAACCGAAAAACGAAAATAGAAAAAATGACGGCGAGGGAAAATTCTATCACAGTATGTTGTCTGTCACCCTCGATTTGATTTTTAAATTGCGTTCGTGATAAATTGACGAAATGAACAGCAATAACGGCGGCGAGAAAAAATCTCAAGCAAAATTGACAACTGTCAAGACTGTCTGCCGTCTGGGTCCCCAGCCCCCCACCTCATCTCATTCGCCGCCCCTGGACGTCCCCAATAGACATATAAAAATTAACTACAGACTACTTATCTTATTTGTTGATGCCAGGCCAAAAGGACCAAGGACCAAGGATCCAGCGCCCGGAAGCAGGCTACAAAAGTTTGTCAGCGGCTTTTGATGTGTTCTTTATACGAGTGTGAGTATTTTTGGGGTATTTTCGGGTGTACTTTTGGGTATATTTCTGGGTGCATGGGGTGTACTTTTGGGTGTGACAATATGGCACAGGAAGCCAGCAATCAACGCGAATGATATGCCAAATGGTAATGACCAAAAGTGAAAAGGTATAAGAAAGAAAGAAAAGATAAATGATCCAACAAGACTTTTTGTAATCAGTTTCCTATATTATTTATAGCTGAGGACAAAATTTGGAAATGGAAAAATGAACTAAAATTAAACGTAATGTTAACGTAAATTCCTAAAAACCAAAATACGTTCAATTAATTCTATTTTTCTTAAAACTATTTGAATTTCAAAGTCAATTTTCCTGGACTTACCCCTTCCGCTCCTGCCCACGAATCGCAGATCGTTGAACTTGGCCACCTGATTCTTCATCACGGCCGTACAGTTTCTCAGTTCCCCGCAGAAGTTCTCATCGTTTCCGGCCCTGATGGTCACTATAGTGCCATCCATGACCTCTCCCAAAGCCAAAACCTTGAAGGCGATCGGTAGCGTTTTGTTCGAGCGCCAGTGCGTGGGCAAAGTGGTGCAGACCTGTTGGAATTTGTCAATATATTTAATGAGATTACGATACGGCTTGGTAAGCTTAAGCAAATTAAATTCACGATTTTCATCTGGGCCCTAAAAACGTTATTTAAAAACTGCTTATTTTACAATTTATAATAAAAAACTACTTTGTTACCAAATATTGTCTTAGGTTATGTAAACTCACCACATGTGGTGACCCCGTCATGACCAACATAGGATATAGATTAATTTTTTTATTTATCTAAGAACTCGGTTTCTTAATCAAAATTAAATAAATATTAAATATTTTAGATCAGGATTTCTAACTTTGAAGGCAATACTCTTTATATACTCTGAAGCTATACCCACCACATGTGGTGACCCCGTCATGATTTAAATATTTGTTTTTCTATGGTTAAGTTTCTTGATCAAAATAAAATAATTATTAAATACTTTAAATTATGATTTCGACCATTGAAGGAAATACTCTTTATTGTATAGTTCTACCCACCACATGTGGTGACCCCGACTTTTTTTATTTGTTTGAGAGTTAAGTTTCTGGATCAAAATTAAATAAATATTTCATATTTTAAATGATGATTTCTCGAATATTAATGGAAATACTCCCTATATATAAACTGTAGCTATACCCACCACATGTGGTGACCCCGTCTTGACCAGTTCGCCAGGATGTTCGGCGAGCAGGACGTCGACGGTGCGCTCGATGAGATTCTCGGGGGTCAAGTAAGGACTTGTGTCCACGGGCTTTGTTTTAACATTATTATTATTGTTGTTGTTGTTCGTGGTGCTGTTGTTGTTGTTGTTGCTGCTGCTGTTGTTGTTGGTGGTGCTGGTATTGTTGTTATTGTTGTTGGCAGAGGAGGACTCTGCATTTCGCCGCTTCGTTGTGGTCGTTGTTGCTGTCTGCTGTTGTTGCTGCTGCAGCTGATGTTGCTGTTGCTGCTGGTGTTGCTGCTGCTGCTGCTGCTGCTGCTGTATTTGATTTGAGGTGGTCGAACTGACCTCAGCAGAAATGTGCATTATTGCAGCTGCTAGGCTGGGCACAAGGTATTTCAGGGCCTCTCTTTGGCTGCCAGTATTCAGTGGATTCAGTTGCCGGCGGGTTTCGTGGGTTTTCGGTTTGATTTCAATGCCTGCCTCAAAGAGTCGACGCTTTCAATCCGATCATTGTCAGCTCATTTGGTCAATCTGGAAAATTAATGTGGACTGCGAGTGAAATTCGGATTGCCAAGGGTTTTTTTGAGCGAAAATATGGTGTTCCTCAAAATAAGTTCTCTAGAAATGTTTAAGAATTTGTAAAAAAAAATGTATTGTATTTCTTATATCATGTTTTTTTATTTATTTCTTAAATTTTATTACTGTATTATATTAAAAATTAATAAATTATTTATGGCTTATATCCTTAGAAAATAAAAAAAATAATAGTTTTTAAGACAAAAGAAAACGTTTACTAAAAGGATTTCACATTTCCAAAATTATAACCATTTATAACACACTTTATATTTTCATTTTTTTAACGGTGTTCAAATTGTTTGACTCATAAGAAAACAGTTTTGCTTGGGTTTTTTTAGCATTCCATTTTTTAATTGGGAAAATGTTTTTTGGAACTCAGGCACTGGTGATTTTTTGTACGGATTTCCACGCTTTTGTTGGAGTTCTTTGTTTTTCCGCTCGCAGCCCGCATAAGTATGCTGCACTTTTTGTTTATTGCCGTCAGCGACAACAGCTCAATTATTATTGCACTTTGACCTCGGGGGGTCCTGGGGCACAAAGGATCCAGATTCGAATCGGAATCAGAAACAGAAACTGTTGCTCTATAGTATCGCTATGTGGGATCCGAACAGAAGCCAAACGAATCGAATCGTATCGAATCGAATGGAATCGCTGCGAACCGCACACCTTTGCGCACAATTTGCATTTAAGCCGACGTCGGCGATTGCAGCTCAATTAAATATTAAAAAATCATAACCAATAATGAGGAATTTCGAGCCGTATGGGCAGGCTCCAAACTAAGATGTACGACTGCGTATGTGTTTGTTAACGGGCAGCAAAAACAAAAAATCCATTTCATGTCCATCAAATGGCGTAATAAAGTGCGGAAAAAACGGGAAAAAATTTATCGAAAGCGCCAGATGTTGCCGGCTTGTGTTTGGCCACCAAAAAATCAACAATGCCCAGCCAGTCGCTTTTGTTTAAATAAAAACCAGTTGCCGGACACAGCCGCGTTTTGTTTTCATCAACTATTTTCAGGATACTTTTAACTGACCGTTTTCCAGGCTCCAAAGGTTTTGCCAGTAACCCAGCTTTCGTTTTTCAACTTGTGATATAAAACAAAATTATAATTATTATTAATAAAGCAAAAAAAAAAGATCTAACATTCCATTTCTGAAACCGAACTATATTTATATAATTATATAAAGCCAAAAAAACTAACAAACACACCTCCATTTCTAAAACCAAATAGATCATTTTTTGTTTAATACTTTAAAAATGTTTTTGGTTTTTTTTAACAAAAAGTATTAAAAGTTAACCCTTAGAAAATTTATAATAAACAAAATATCTTACAAAAACAGCCTCTAGAATTTTTATAAAGTACTTGAAGTAATATTTGGTTTTTTATATTTTTTTTTTAAATTTCAAAATTATTTACGCATACAAAAAAGAAACCAGAGTATTTAAGGCTTCGGTTCATTAGGACCCCTGGAATTTTCTTCTTGTTTTGCAATGTAGCAGCAAGTGTTGCACAAACACAATCAGACCTAAAGATATATATCTATACATACATGTATACGCTGCGAATACGCGTTTTTTACAACTTCCGCACTGAAATGCATACATTTACAATATATGTATATCCATATATGCATTTTTTGCCGCTGCCGAATGCAGATGGCCGACCAAATGAGCTGGCCAAGCGACTATGTGGCGACATATGTGGCCACAGATGAGGGGACAGGGGCGTGGAAAGGGGGAAGGGGTTCACCGAAGTCGGTCTATATAATCGGTTAACAAACAAGTCGGTTGCGGGGCTAGCCACACAATTAGACCAACAAATGTAAATGAACCCGTGGGAAAAAGATGGATTTATGCGGAATTGTGCGGCTTAGAAAATCAAAATCAATTGACTACGAAATTATGACTAATGCTCTGAATATGTCCAAGCATTTAAGAACCATATTTATTTGTTTAAATTATGCATGTTTCTTATCTTAAAAATATATTTTTATTTCTAATAAAAAATAAATCTAAATAAAATATTAAAAAAATAGCTTATCGCTTGGAAATTATAATGAAAACTAACTATGTTAAAGAATATTTTTTATGCGATGATCAATAAAGATATTTTATATTTTCAAATCATATTTCATTACGTTGAACAAAAGGCACAAGACTAAAACGATATTATACGTTTACGTTTTTTTACAAATAAATAATAAATAGTATAAAGAAATCTAAAATAATTTAAAATCCTTTTGAGGCTATTAAATGTACTAGAGATCAGTTCACATTTTCTTATTTTCTTACTTAAGAACATATTTCTATGGTTTAGTTACTGATCACTAGGTAATTTTGTGGAAAAGTAATATCCTTCTGAAGTTCATTAACTGTTGATCAGTTTATAATATTGCAAGGACGATCGTGTTAACCCTCAACTTACTTTTTTTCAGAGATTTGGCTATAATTATTTTTTTCGCCAGCACCAATTATAATTTTGTTTTATAAGGATTTTTCTTTGATTTTTGTTTCGTTATTATTGCACCACAAGCACTTCAAAAAAATGATTGAATTTCGAGCAGACTCTTTCGATTTTGGGCTTTCTAATTGTGGTAATTTTGCTTAGCCACCGACACTTGCACACACACCGACACACACCCAGAGACACAGACACATATAGAGAGACACACAGACGGGGGCTGAGACTGGCGATCGAATCAAACGACACGGAGATATTAAACTATTTTTTTGCGGTAACCATGAACGCGACCACTACGAGCGGTTGGCAACGCCGACCACCGACGCCGGCAGCGACGCCGACCGCGACCGCGACGGCGACGCCGGCCGAGGGCCCCCGATTTTAGAATAGAACGAGTGTACAGCATCCAGCATCCAACTGTAACGAAGTCTCACGCAGCGCGCTCACGAAGTCGCAGTCGAAGGACGAAGGATGCGAAGGATGCGAAGGATGCCAAGGACGAAGGAGCGCAGGCGACGCCTCATCATAATCACAGGCGAAAAAGAAGCAGGACCATCGCACCACCCCCACCCTCCAAGCACTCCAAAACACCCACCACCCCATCAAACACTGCAACATCTCGGCACCCCGCCCCCAGGGGAACGTCTATGTCGACTTCTTACTCAACCGATGGGGGTATATACAGTGAGGCCTCCTCAGAGCAGACGTTGCGGATAGATTGTAAGATATATAACCCTTAGTGTTAGAGCACATACTAGTATTCTTAAAATCCGGCTCGAAGGACCAACTCTTTTGACATGAATTAGATTAAATATATACTGCTCATATAGGCAACCACTTATTTTTTAACCACAAACTTTTTGATTTCAATTCAGAGAATGCGGCTCGAAGGACTAATAATTTTGAATTTTATTCTCATTTGGTCCCTCGTGCCGGATTTCTATTAGGTTTTGGGTGAGTTGGTATTATTATTTCAAAAAGTCATCACAACCTATGGGATTTTTGGATAGAAATTCATAAAAGGTTGTTGTACAAATGTACTACAGGTTCTACAAAAGTTCTAAGGTAATGACTTTTAAAAAAATTCCTATCAATTAGTCAACATTCAAGGAAGGGCAGGAAGCCATAAGTAATTAGTCCTAGGTATTTTTATTTTACTCATATTTTTGTTTCGTGTGAACAAGTAACTCTGCCTTAATGTTCAACTTTGCGGGGTTGCACTGTGGTGTTTTCTTGCATTTTTTTCCTCACTCCCGCTGTTGTTGCTGCCGTGGATGCTCGGAGGCCGCCTCTCCTTCTTTTTGGCTTAACATTTACCGCGAGAACCAGTAGCAGCGGTTGTCCCACGGCAGCGCAGTCGACGTCGACGTCGACGCTGGCAGCGACGCCGGCAGAGGGAGGGGCAAAGGGCAAAGTAAACCGAAAACCGAAAACCGAAACCAGAAAACGTCAACTACACCACAAGCAGAAAGGCCGCAACGACGTCTTCAAGTTGGACAGAGTGGAGTGTAAGCCCCCCCCCCCCCCCCCCTCATCAGCCCACCACCCACCTCACCACTTGCCACCCCTGAAGAAGGGGCAACCCACCACGGATCTTAGAAAAATTGCGCTCAATTTTTTGGCGCACTCTGGAAAAAAAGGCGCCAAAGGTTAGAGTGAGAGGCGAACAGCGGGCCAGAAAGAGACGTGCGAACTTCTTGAGTTTTTCCCAGGCTTTTCTTGGCACTTCTGTGCTTTGCTTTTTTTTGGTTCAACCCCCAAAAGAATTTCGCCTTGGAAAGGACTCAAAAAAAGTCTCTCATCGCATCTCATTTCAAGAAAAAAAAAAGAAAAGCAAAGCGTTGGAGACGCGGCTTTGTGGCAAACCAGGAATTGGTAAGCCAGCGCGAAAGAGACGGCTACAGGGTGCGAGAGAGAGAGGTCCTATAACTTGCGGCTGCCATTTGCGGCCAAGAAAAGCCGAAGAATGAGTGGAAAAATTGCAACCACATGGGGCACAGCCGCCCGCCCATTGGAAAGTGAGCGAAAAAAGAAATCTAAATAAATTCCCTACAGGGCGGTGCTAAATACTTCCTTGGGTTTTTCGGTTATATTATTTTTTAGCCGTTTTTGGTTTTGCACATTACCTTCGTAGGCCTGAGCAACCCTCCTTCGGCTTGCGGTTTCTTGGGCAACAAAAAAAAAGGGGGTGCTCATGGGTTAAGGGGTGGTGCATGGTGTGTGTGTGTTGGTGTGTTGGTGTCAGCGGTTGCGCACCACCAACAGTGCTTGTGTGCGTGTGCGAGTGTGTGTGTGGTCGGGCATTATGAAACCGCAGGAATTATTACACGCTGCGGTCGATTACTATATCAAAACTCCTCTAATCAGGCATCTGTATTGGACAGGGCGGCTCACACGCACACAGAGGCGTAACCACAACCACTACTGCAACCACACACACACACACAGGCGTAAGTACACACAGATACTTTGATAGCCAACCAAAACTACGCGTTCCGCTTGAGTCGATGCAGCCAATGAGCGGATTTCGATTGCCAGATTGCCAAGCCGCTCGCAAATTCGCTAGCCAGCGGATGCGAATCCATTCGATTCGGCGGGAAAATCCCGTTGGAGCCACGGGAAAATGGTGGAAAACCGAAAAATGGGGGAAAAACATAGGAAAACCCAATAAGGGGGCACTTCAAGCCGTTACTAATTGGAGTCACTTGGCATACAGCCATTATCAAATATCAATCAAAGCACAGCTCAAAATTAAATTCAAATATTAAGTACAAATATAGAAGCTTTTTTAAATTAACCTCTACCAAAATATATAAAAATAATTGTGATTATTTAGATTAATGATTTGAGTAGAGTACTGATTTATATATGAAATAAAAGCACGGATTAAAAAAAAAATGTGATATAAAGAAGGGTTCTCATGTGATAATAATAATTTCCTGTTTATTACACTTTTTTCCACTAAAATTAAGTTTACACTTCTGTATTGATTTATAAAAAATTATAAAAACAAAAATACCATATAAAATCATAGTCCTACTGGCAGCTAAAACTATAAGTTCCTATGTCAGACCTAGATTTCTGAACAATTCAACTATCATGAAAATAACATAAAAATATATGGAAAAATCATATTTCAATAAAATTTTTTAAAGAATACATTTATATGAACATTTATGATAACAGAACCCATTTACTATACAAGTATTATTCACTGCCCATCCCGAAATAAACATTTAAATGCATAATATAACTGGATTTTCGATACGTATTTTTTTTTATATTTAAAAATAGTTCTAATGTTTTCTAGCACTTTCTTTAATAAACTTTCTCCAAAATTATTTAAAATTTTTAACAGCTATATCATATGATACTTTACAGTCAAAACAGATTTCCTTAATATCACCCTCTTTTGGTTGGTATAAACCCATTTAGGTTTTAAGAAAATATTTTAAAAGTGTTATTCATATTTAAAATAAATCCATATTGTATATTTTAAGACCCCATCTAGAGAAATGCGATTTTAGAGAGGCATGTTTATGTTATCAAAAGATTTTACTATTTTCTGCTGCTGGAATACTGCCAAAGTAAATTCCCCAGCCCTTTGATTTCTTTTCGCAAATAATTTGCCCCCAATTAGTAGATTTCCGCATGTGTGGCATTGTCGCCAGTTTGAATAAGTTCTGTGTGCTTATCATTAGCCGAACACTCCGACACACCCGTGGAGCTTATCGATGACGCCCTTTCACCCAGCCAACGCCCCCTCGAAGCTCCCTCGCACCCCCTGCAACCGCCGCCCCTGCCAAAGAAACCAAGGCAATTAAAACGATAAACCAAAAATGCCCAGCGGCGTCACCAAAGAGGGTAAATAATAATGAGAACTGCGAGGGGAATAAAGAAAGGAAAAAAGTGCAGGAAAATAACGATTTTTTACTTTCCACTTCCATTTTCCTTGGCTTTCTTGCTTTCTACACAGAGGAAAAAATGTGCATTACTATTAATTATTTAAACTAAAATGTATTTCAGCCACTAAATATAAATACTTTACCATTGGTTAATTTTAATTAAAATGGTATACTTCTTTTCAAGCTCTCTAGATAACATCAAATATTTTTCAAAAATATTATTTCCAGAAAGAAATTTAATTGAAACTGTTTTTAATTTATTAAAACGACTACCAATTAATATTTCCCAGTTTAAATTTAAGGTTAAGTCTACTTTTTATAAAATATAAAACCCAAATTTTGTAAAACCGAAAAGTTTTACATTGATTTTATAAGTTCTATGATAAAACCAGCTGAAAAATTGTAAAATAAATATATTATGTTTATAGAAAACTGGATTTTTCAGTGTAAAATATTTTTTTCCTCCGTAGTTAGAGGCAACGAAAGGCGTTCAAGTTGCAAGACCGCTAAGCAACGACACCAGGCACCACCGCCCACCAACCACCCACTCAGCCACCCACGCCCACCACCCACCGCCCCCTCGAAAGAGGAAGGACAATTATGAAGCAAGTTGGTCGGCGGAAGCTCAAGGAGCACAGGAGCGAGAAATCCTTGCTGCCGCCGAAAGATTTTGTGCAAATAATTCTAAAGTGGAACGACAATGGCTGCAAAGCGGCGGCAAGTGCCACTGAAGTGGGTGAGTGGGTGGTGGGCGGTGGGTTAGTGGGTGGTGCAGGTGACAAGGCGGCATGACACTTTTCATTTACCCCAGGCGGGAAAGTGTATTATTTATTTAGCCAGAACATCTATGCCAATATAATGTACTTTTCAAACTCTTTCCAACGGTTTCAATTGAATAAAATATTTAGATTCATTAAATATTCAGTAAAAGCATCAACAATTTGTTTGAGGTTTTAATAAAAGTTTTTAAGATAACATTTAAAAATGGTTTATTATATTTAAGCCTTTGTTATTTTATTATAACTTATATTATTTGCAATGGTTGCCCCACTTAAAATCTTTTTAAAAATAATATTTGCTTATAATTAGAGTTCTTT